ACTCTCCCCCTCCCTACCAACCTAAACTGTAGGCCTAATTTAATGTAATGTACAGTACTACTGTAAGGTATGTATTTGTAAGACGTTGTGATACAAAATAAATACAGTATAGTTTTATGTTTAATATATTTTTTCATAAATGATCAGTTATCTGAACGACTCCAGTCCAAAATTGTTTTGGATAATCGATGCTCTACTGTAATTTTATTTTTAATTTTAGCTTCTGTTTCAGTGTAAAAAACAGAGTTTTAATCATTATTTTATTATTTTTAATTTTAATTAACTGGCTACCTAGTATTAATAAATATTATATTAAATTAAACATTAATATTATAATATATAATACATTAATAAATTTTTGTTATTTAATTTGAGTTAAGCACCTTTAGATATGAATTAATAGATGTCATTTATATAATGCAAATGCCAATTAATGCAGTTTTTATAAATTAATTTTATTTAAATTGTGATGCATATCAAAAACCAGTAGTAGTATCTTGCATGCATGCACATTGAAATCTAATTTGAATAACAATGCCATCAATGGTTAGTGTTGTAACATCTAATGATGCAAGGCAAATCTCAGCACCACTACTGAATCAGTAGTCCTGTCATTGATTGGTCAGGCTGTCAACTTTCTTTAACACAGAAAGTATAGGAAGTTGATCATCAATGGCCAGCTCTGCTGTATAGATTATTCAGAAACCAAGTTATCATACATAAACCAGAAAAAATATGGCATTCAAAGTTTTATTTGTAAACAGGTTTTTTGCATAAATTTTGCATAAACAAAATTTATATTTTACATATTTATCAGAATTTTATATGCAATTTTTTGGCAATGCTAAATAACTAAGTTTGACTATGATAGATAATTCTTTCCATCAACTATTATTTTTCAAAATTGCAATTAAAAACAATATATTTTTAATTGCAAATTGTATTTAAAATAAAATATATTATAAAAATTAGTTAATTCATATTTATGTTATGTATGAAAACCTACCTTAAGAAAATAGTTTACAAAAAATTTGTTCGTATCATTCATCAATGTTTGAGGTTACTAAGAAAATAAGACCTAACCAGAAAATAATCCCTAGTATGATTTTTCAGGGTGCTCGTAATATAGGCCCTACCCCTAAAATAAGCCACAGTTAAGATCGTCAGCCAGATGGTCGTATTTAATACATCCGTTTCAATTCACAACAGGCATATTGAATATAAAATAATGATATTAATATATAATTAAATATAAATAAATATTATTATTGACATTAATACTTAAAATAAATGATAATATAAATTATAATTAAGTATTTGTAAATACCCAAGCGAGTGCCTTTGGACAAGACATTCCCTGATAATAAGACCTAATGCATCTTTTGAAGCAAAAATTAATATAAGACTTGGTCTTATTTTTGGGAAAATACAGTATATATCTATGCAATTTATCTTAATCATCATAAAGAAAAACATTCATGAGATGCAATTTTGAATTACTAAATATATAACTAAAATTCATTTAAATTTTTAAAAATAACTTATGTACTGTAGTTCCAAAGTAGCTTTTATTGATAGAAATTTCTAAATTCTGGATGCTATATGAATCACTTACATAAATTACAAAAACTCATGAAATATAGAACAAATTTAGTGTGTCATGTATTTATTTTATAATTTTAAAACAAATAAATATATTAAAAAATAAATGGTGAAATTTACCTTGAGCCACTGCATGATTTCTTCCTTTATTTCCCAAAATTTGTCTATTCATATTGTAATCTTTGTTATTTTTCTAATTTCTACAATAATAAATAAGAGTTTTATGTCAGTTCATTCATTATATTAACAAAACTTGAATTAAAATAAAACTAATTAATAATTCATAGAGAATTATGAAAATTGTTTTTAGTAGTAACTTAATAAGAATTAAATTTTTAATGTTTAAATATTTAATTTTACTTTAAAGAAATTAACCTGAAATACTTAAGCTACTGATTTATTTTAAATTTTATTATCAAAAAATTGATCAGTAAAAGTTATTTCACACAGCTTTTATAATATAAAGATTATAGGCCATAAGTAATTTAATCAATAATTTTATTTTTAACACTTACATTAAAACTTTTAAATAAACAATTATTATTAATTATTCATAAATTATTTTTGTTTCTGATAAATCTATATAGAAAAATTTAGTTGTCTCAGTTGAATATTCATTCATTTATTTATTTATTTTTAAATAATTTTTAATAAAAATTTAAAATAACTGGCATATAATATAAATTTTTTAAAATGTTTATAAAGTAAAACAAAGAAAATAATTTTATATAAAGAATTTTTAAGTTGATTGTGTGGTTCATATTTCAAACATTCAAAAGAACATTTTTTATCAAAAATATTTGAACATTATCATTGTATGATTCAATCAATTTTTAAAATGCTATCAATATACAATAGCAAATAAAACAAAAATTTAAAAAGAAAAAAAAAACTAATGTTGAAAGTCACCTGCAAATCTGATAAAAAATTTACTGGAAAGAGAACAATGCAGATATTATTGAAAGATATCGACATACAATATAACTAATTATTTTGTAAGAATGAAGTAATGGATTTTCCCCCCTGCAGATTCAATTACAGAATGAATAAACATATATATATATAAACCAAACTTATTTGTTAATAAATGCATATTCTTATTATGTATAATTATTAAATATTCAAAAAACCTATAATTATTCTCAAATATTAAAAAAATTTGTTTTAATATTTTACAAACTGTTAAAATCTAAGTTACTAACAGAAATATTCCTATAATATTGCAAAAACAATTTCAAAATACACACAGCTACATACAGTAAAAGACTGAGAAGTACCCAAAGGGGCTAACTCAAAAGTTAAACACTTTAATAATTAATAAGTACCTTTTATTAACAGATGTGAGACGACTGTGGCAGACGGTTCGATAAACCATATTTGCCATCACAAATGTTTTTAAAAAACATTTTGAAGCTTTAACAGATAAATTTTAATTTTCTTTTTGTATAAAAGGTGGGACTAAAGCACCCGTAACTACCACTTTCTACATTTACCCGAAAGCTTCTTGGTAAAAGTTTCCATCAAGAAATTAATTTGTTTATTAGCGAGGTTACGACTGGAGTTTTCGTCTTTAAAACACAAGCGTGGAACATCGAGTGCCGCTATCTTGTAAGTGGCACTCGACGTTCCCACGCTCATGTTTTAGAAATGAAAACTTCGGCCGCAACCTCGCTATTTTCTTCAATTCTAATTATTAATATAGTTGTTTCTTCCACAATTAAAGTACTTTAATTGTGAAAGGAAAAAAAAACCTAAAACCTAATTATAATTTAAAATAAAGTATTTTATAAGAAATAAAGCAAAAATTTTAATTATTTATTATATTGAACATAATAAATCAATTAAATGATTTTACAAAGTATAAAGCAACAAATCACTCTTGTTTTTATTTTAGGTCACTTTAAATCTGATGAAAACAACACAAAGGGTCCATTTAAACAATACATAAAGCTTATTTCCATAGTCAAAATTAAAATATTTCTACATTTATTCATCAATTATTGAAAATTCCCTCTCCTCTAGTAACTTCTGTCGCTTATACACAATGAAATAATTAATTTAATTATTTAAGGAATCTCAGTCCCATTACGTCATTGCAGAACCGAAATTACAAACACGAAAATACCGTCTATTTCGAGCCGTATTTAGTGCTTTATATATTAATTAATGCGTAATACATCGTTCGATATGTCTTAAGTTAAATAATTTACCTAATTTAATTCCAATAAAGGCAGAAATTGCAAATTCTTCGCTTTGTGCTTCATCTTGTAAAATATCCTCAAATAACTGCAGTGTTGCCAAATCGTTAAAAATATTCATTTTTTTATATCATTATTGTAATAAAGTAATCGTACTTTGTAAATAAATATTTTAAATTTTTTTAATGTTTTAATAAATATTAAAATATGAAAAATTAATTTCATAAATTTCATAAACTGTTAAAAAAAAAAAATACTTATTTATTTAAAATCCGATAGGTGGCCGGATGGCCGCGTGGTCAAGGTGGCAGCCTATATTACCGTTCGGTTAACATGGAACACCTAAATTTCAACACATTCGGAATAAGAGCAGGAAGCTTCTGAACATCTTTAAAATTTATTGAAACAAGAAATACAGCTGCCAGCCCAAGGACCTTTTGTGCATCGCCGACAGTACCACTCATGTATGTACTGTACTTCCCAGCATCTCAACCTTGACTAAAATCCAGATGACTAGAATCCATACATATGCATTACGTCAAACTCAGCTTTGGTCTCCCTATGACCGTTAACAATATCCTAACCCGCAGAGCGACCAACACCACGACCATAGCTTGCCATTACAGGAAGTATCTAATAAAACACTATATTACCTATCTCCAGAAGGCTTCGAGGGATAACTTTTCTCGGAAAATTATACACATCATTCAGAGTAATGAAGGTGCCACCCTTGTGAAGATTTCTATAGCCCATTACATCCGGAACTGGACACACACTCATAGTATCCCTACCGATAATCACACGATCCAAAACTCCATTCCCTCCGGCGCCACCGTCATCGACATTCATATCGATAACCTGTCGTTCCAGGACACCTCCCTACCAAACCCTGTTATTCAATCCAGCTATGATGAGTGGGCAACGGCGCAAGATCTTTCTACTTTCCTGGCCACCGACGGATCGAAAATCGACACTGCAGTCACAACATCATTACACTCTACCCCGAGACCACCATTTTTACGGCGGAGGGATATGCTATCCTCCGCACGTTGCATACTACCGATACTAACAGCAACATCACCGTGTGCACGGACTCTAGAGCGGTACTAACCGCCATCATCTCTCACCACGATAAGTCTACATCCATCATTAGTCTCATCGACAGCCGCAACAAAAGTAACCCACAGACGCGTCTTGTATGGACCCCAGCTCATAAAGAAATAACTACAACCCACAAGCGGAAAGCTTGTTAAGAGCCAGCCTCGCGACTGTAAGAAAACTCGTTTTATTACTCCGGAGAACTACACCACTATTATAAACACTGAGATCAAACATGATATGGACACTGAGTGGCATAATTAGGCTGCGTACACACTAGGCGTTTTTAAACGCGCGTTTTAAAGAACCAAGAGTTCTACATAAGCGTACACACTCAAACGCGCGTTTTTGGCCAAGCGCGCGTTAAACGCGCGTTTATAGATTTTTCTTAAAACGCGCGTTTTGCGGGCGTCAGCCGAGCGCTTCGAGATATATGTGCTACCATGTTACTGTACATTCGATCACGCGTTTTCAGGTACATTGGCCGAAATGGAGAACGATCATTTCGATACTGATCTATTTATTGATGAAATCTAAGAGACAAACCATTGTCAAAAGATTTTATAGATATTTTAAAAGAATTAAAAAACTTAAGTTTATTTTGTCTTAGTTTTGGATACAACGTCGCAAACATTCCATGTGTCAGTCTATCTCGTAATATTGAGTGCACCCAAAATTCTCTTTGCCTCTGCCATCGTCTTTTATAGCGACGATGGAGGAAGGGCACACAGGCAATTACTTTCATGTCCATTTCCAAACTGAGCCAGTGCGTATGCTCCACTAAACGCTCGTCTAACGCCGAGCTAACGCGCGTTTATTAATAAAATGCGCGTTTAAAAACGCCTAGTGTGTACACAGCCTTACTCAAGGCACACAGACTATCATTGGCTCACCATCGACCGACATATCCCTGTCATTGACTACACGGATCGTTACACTATCCTGATACATCGGGTTAGGACTAATTCCCTCATCACTAATACCTTTCTCTATAAACGCAACCTGAAGAATACTGATCGCTGTACGTACTGCCCGAGAGAGCAGGACACTACGATACATCGGCTGGATAACTGTAATCAATTTGAACTCGTACGCAAAAAGATGTTGAATAACAACAGTCTCATTCGACAAAAAATTTTCAAGATAAGTGATTGTCTAAAATTTACGCTCATCGAGATATGTATACAAAGTATGATCATATTTTTCACCGTATACAAGCGAACTTATAAATACTGAGGAAAATGTAACTTCCGCCTCCTTTCACCACCACGGGACGCAATAGTCTGTGTAACTCAAGCCCTACGACAAGAAAGCAAGGTGGCAGCCTACCGCTCCGAGGGACCCGGGATCGAGTCCAGACGGGTCGAGAAATCTCCACGAATTTTTCGGAGGTGGTCCGTCCGGATATGTCGGGTCCCGTCCCTCACCACCCAACTGCACCATTGTGGGCTTGGCGAACCCACAATGGTTGTGGGTTCGCAAAGCAAGGCTTTTTAGCAAGGTTTGCTAGCAAGGCTTGCTAAAAAGAGTCCCTCTTAGTGCCCACAGGGCGGAATAAAAAATAAAATAATAAAATAAATAAATAAAATTTCTACTTTATGTGACTGGTAATTCATAAATAGTACAGAAACAGAAGACACCACAGAATATAAATTAAAAATGAATTTTAATTAAGAAAAGTTTCTTGGAAAATTTTCTGTTTGTTTTCGTTTTTCTTTGTAGGGAGCCATGGCCCCTTGTCCCCCTGGGTTCGCCGCAGCTGCTGACATGGCGCCAGTTTTTTCCCTCTGTCGTAAACGAGGTATAACCGCCGTAATTCTATAGCATGTGAATTTCGATCTGCTTGTAGAAATGCTTGATTGCTCAGATTGATCAGTCTCGTAAGCAGAAATAAATCATTAGGAAGACTAGATTTATAAATAATGGGAAAATAATGAAAAAATTGTATAGGGTTATAAATAGGCCGAGTATTAACAATACTGTTTTCTAGCCAGCACTATTAGCTACAGTCCACCTGTAAAAATAGCCAATAATATCCTAGTTTTTACGCGATAAAAGCGGAGGTATATATTACATATGTTGCATGTGGGTATTGCTGTACTAAGTGAGAGCTATTACAATTTTTAATGAAAAATTGATAAAAAAAATTTATCGTCATATTAAAATTGTTAACAAGATATTATCATGTAGAAAATGGAACAATCCGCTCGAATCACTAAAGATTTCGTTTTATGTTCTCTCAATTTTAATAATAATGAAGAAACTTCAGAATCGTAGCAACTCGTTTAACTTTCTAAAATACTCAACCACTCGTGTATCTTTACACATGCATATAGAATAAATAGAATGAAGTGGCTCAAAAATAAGAGAAATAGATACAATCCCAAAACTTTTCGAATGTAATAAGTTGTCATGTCGTCAGGAAAAATGAAGAGTGAAAGGAGGTAGTAGTAAATAAGAATCGCTGCACATCGATAAAACAGTCGTCGTTGCCTTCTAACATAATTTGCATATTCTTCTTCATTCTCTTGGTCCATTTGTTATTTTCACTAAAACAATGTGTCTGTACTAACAATACAAAAAAAAAAAACAAAACAAAGACCTTGATTACCGTTGTAAAGTGTTGATGGTATACTGATGCTAATGAGGTTAAAAATTTGTAGTGCTTTGGAATTATCTTTACAATTGTTTGTCAAAGAATTTTTTAATAATTGGTTGGTTTTAGTATGTTTATTATACACGTGTGTGGAAAAGTTTTTTAAACTTTATTCTTACAAATGTGTGCAAAGTTTACCACCCCTACCCATGGAAATATCATTGTAATTACCACCAACGGTTATTCACTGAAGAGGGACTGGAAAATATTAGACCAGCCCGAAATGCATTTGATGTAGTCTTTACAAAATAAATTTAATTTGCCAATAAGATTGCTGTGAGATTTGTCTACCAAGAATATTTTTGGATTACAGAGACTAAAATCGTCATATTAAATAATTTACCATATTAATTAAGTTTTATCTATATATACTGATACATATACATTTCAACTTTTTTCCATTCGGTGGGGACTAAAAGGATTTTAAAAGGATCTTTTCACTCAAGACAATCATGATTTTGTTCGGATCTACAATGGGACATTAGGAGAGTCTCAAGAAAGGGGCCGACATATCCGGGACAGAACGCCCACGAAAAATTCCTGAGATTCCTGACCTAACACTTTTTCTTTCGATTCAAGATATACAATTGAAACAGAAAAACCTTCAAATATAGTAAAAATTCTACCAAACATAACAGACTATTTATATATTCAAAATGGTTGATCAGTCTTTCCTGCAGTTGAAAATTATCAGCTATAAAAAATATCCTATGATTTATAATGATAAATATTAAATTTAATTTCTAACTTTAAAAAAACCTCATAATCTCATAGGTGCGGAACTTCAGAAATATCAATATTTCTATTGATAATGAAATACTACGTAAAATGATAATGAAACCATTATTTAATGATATGAAGTGGTCAAATGCTTGCATAAACAGTTTTCAAATCATACTTTATATTTTTTTTTATCTAGAAAAGGGAAGTGATGAATTCCCGAATGCCAAGAGATCTAAGGTCAAGAGTTTAACAATTTTCAAACAGATCGAGTATTTGAGTGCTTAACATCCCAGCTAACTGCATTTCTCTAAGATATCACAAATGATAAGTCCAAAGGGCACCTATTGACTTAAGCCAAGCTATTAGAGTAACTATATCACATGATATCTAGAGAACAATTCTTGATTGGTAGTCTATGATGGAATAAAGATCATCCTAACAACATAATATCAATTTCCAAGTTAAATTTAAATCTAAAAGAAACCATGATAGACTTTTATTTCGTTTTATTGATTTTTACAGTTTTCAATTTATCTGAAAGTTATCAGTTATTTCCTGAATGGAACTTAATAAACGGAAGATTAAATCAACAAAGATGTGTGGATATACCATCGAATTTAACATTATGCCACGGGATCGGATACGAACAGATGAGACTACCAAATCTGTTAGATCACGATACAATGGTTGAAGTGCTGAGTCAAGCTAGTTCTTGGGTTCCACTTCTCAACTTAAAGTGCCATTCGGACACTAGAGTCTTTCTGTGTTCTTTATTTGCACCCATTTGCTTGGATCGCCTGATTTATCCTTGCACGTCATTATGCGAAGCAGTCAAACACGGATGTGAAAAGAGGATGGAAAATTATGGCTATCCGTGGCCTGCAATGTTGTCGTGTGACAAATTCCCCGCCGATAATGATATGTGCATAACAACTCAGACACAAGATAATACCGGTAAGTGTTTAATGCTTAATGCCATAAATCTTTCAGGAATAGTATATGTAGGTTTTTAATTAAGATAACTAAGAGTTTATTTTAATACTATCTTAAATAATAGATATTTAATGAAATAATTACATTTAAATGTATATAATATTTTCTATTAAAAGTATCAACAAAGGGGTTATTTTTCGAGTATAATCTTTGGAAAATCTTCCAATACAACAATAAAGTGACTAAAAAATCAACATTAAAATTCGCACATGCATTTTCAATATTGCAATATTATTTTCATATTATAAAATTAAAGTCTTTTAAAATAATATAAAATTCTGAAGTATATTTTAAATAAAATTATCGGAACAAATATTTCATTTCATTTTTGAATTTTCAATTTTTAATAAAATGTTAGAAAAATTATTTATATTTTTATTTTCAGATTCTTCTCCGTGTACAGTTTGCAATCAGCCACAGACTGTAGAAAATATTATTGATCATTTTTGTCGTTCGGATTTTGGTAATATCATTAGTTTTTCGTAATTCGCTAAAATCATTTTCCAATATAAATTAAACTATCGTGAATTTCTTAAAATGAATGCAAAAATTTTACACAATAATTACGAAAATATGGTATGTTATATATAATTTTATAGCCTATATAATATCTTATTATAGTAGCCAAATGAATAAATCACTGAACACTGTTAGTTGGTCCCAGGTTCATGCCTAATCGGAATAGCCACATGAAATTTTCCTGTTTTCTTCGTGTATCTAAATAGAGTATAACACCTAAATAGAGAGCCAATTTCCCGTAGAAAGTCCTCCCTAAGGCATCACCTATATGTTACTTAGTATTATCCCATCCAACCAGTCTTAATTTATTTATTTTTATGAATACTTTTTTTTGTTTAAATTTTACTCTTTCTGCCCTGTGGAAACTGTCTTTCTATTATCCATAGTTAGTTCGGCTAGGCTCACAATGTGGTACCGAATGGTGAAGAACGGAGCCCGACAGGAATTTCTCCGAAACAGATCATTTTGAAGAAATCTTTAGGGTTTTTTCCGCTCGGATTCGATCCTGGGTCACCCAGAGCAGTAGCCTTAACTGCCTGTGAACACTTTTAATATTAGTTTTTATTAATTTTTGTATTAGACTATCTCATTGAATCTCAAACAGAAGAAATTCGAGAATTTCGTAAATATTATCGGCTCCTTTAATCTTACGACAAACAAATTTAACGATAAGTTTAGCCAATAATCTTGTTGAATAAATTCTCATTTGTGATTATTTCTATTTTGAATTAATTATCTAAACAAATAAATCTTATTTATCTGGTGGAGGTGAGTCTTATCAATACATACAATCACACTGGCCTACTTGTAATTATCACAAATAAAATTCGCTACACTTAAACGTTGCGTTGATATTCTATTTATCGCGTCATTTATTTTTTAATATTTTAAAATTTCGTATTTTTATATTCTTCTTTTATTTTAGTTGTGAAAGCAAAAATTCAAAAATGGAAGAAGCAGAACCTCTCTTGCAAAAAGACTCGAGTGTTAAGGATAACCACAAAAGAAGGCTTATCTAGAAAAGAATTGAAAAAACCAACATTTGTCCATGCTAATCTTTCGGATTGTTGCTACGAATTGTTAAATAAAGCAGGAAAAAAAGCGCAGTTATTAATTATGGGTACTAAAATAGAAAAGAATTTAGTAGCTAGTTTCATCATGAAATGGAATAAGTCACCTCTGTTAAAGAAAGTTTCGAAATTAATGAAGAAATTAAACTGTTCTGATCCAAAAATGCTATCGGAGACGATCATGGGAGATGCCATTTTTCGTGTAACAGAAGATAACAAAGATAACAGTAACAATAAAGAGAAACGTAAAAAGGAAAAGAAAGGAGAAAGATCGAGTAAAAGATTCAAATCATAAATCTTTAAAAATTGGCATAAAATTTTCTTTTAAAATTGTAAAAAGTTTTTAATGTAATTTGCCTTTTTAATTAAATTAAATAAAATATTCAATAAGAACTAATATTATTTATTAAACATATTTTCATTATTTAATTGTTATGTAATATAAAAACAAAATTAAACTGTACTATAAACAATCGAAACATAATTTAACACATAGTTTTAAATTTAACGATGAAATACAGTATTGCACAACCTGCCTAAACGTAAAAAAATTATTCCGAATGTAGCAATTTTCTATGTTAAATTCTATTATTTGAGAAAACACATCCAAAGCTGAAACGGAAAAGATTGTTGAGTACGAAGAAAGTAACTTAATTAACCTGGATAAAGTAAAAAAATTAAGATTCCATTTGTAGACAAATAAGTAAACTCAGCTCCAGGTATAACAGAGCGTGACAAACTGTATTCTGAGAACGATTTCAAACCTTTTCAAATGTCTTTGTTGGAATCATCGAATACTTTCAATACTCGAAATGAGTTTTTAAGATCGAATTCTCTGAAAGATCTTTATTACTTAATTCCAACAATTTCCTCGGGGATTACTACGCCTGGCTTTCTGGTACGAAACTGAAAATGAGAAACTAAATAGAAAGGTACTAGAAAAAGCATAAAACATGAATTATGGATGATGGAATAGAATTGGATTGGATTAACGGAATAAAAACAACGAAACACTTGGGCGATTTACTAAGGATTGCTTCTCGGGAAAACTTTCTATGGAAAACTGGCTCCTATTTAGATGAAAAAAAAAACCCAGCAAACACGCGACAGCCCGTTGTTGAGATGCGAATCTACAGTGAGATCAATGTTCAGTGGATTTATCCACATGGTCACTGATGAGTACAAAAATGTACTGAATGAGCTGAAATGTACAAAAACTACCAGCAAAAGTTACCTTTTACCACAAGAACTAAAGAGATATAATTTAGAGATAGTCATTTGCAACATGAAAGCGTGAAAGAGCTATTCAAACGCCAAATAAATAACAGGCGAACAGAGATCTGTACAACAGAGAAAATATATGAAAACATTAAGAGAAACTAAAAATAAATATTGGGAAAGGAAATTTGCAGAAGTTGAAGCTAAATTGAGATTTTAGGAATAATAGCAGCATGAACATTTCTTTAAAGACTAACGCACACAATAAATAAATAAATAACATAAAGCAAAGTTTAATGAATTAGCTGTCACATAAAGTGGGGATTTTCTTGAATTCTCATTAAAATTTCTTTTATCCGTTCAACTCGGTTCCCCAAAATTAAATCCCGAGTTCATCACTGCATACGATATTCACAGATTTAGAAAAGGCCTGTGATAACATATCAATTAGAAAGGCTGGTTGAATCACTCACGAGACAGACAATCCTTTATCATCAGGTGATATCTAATTGCTAAGGGAAATGAGGTTAAGATACGAAAGAAAGACAATTATTCTAAAATACTCCGCCTATTTTTAGTTTTACCTTCCTATTCTTCGTTGGTATTTCGTAATTCTGAACACCTCCCAAATTTTTCACTAAACAAAGCATGTATTGATGACTTTTCGAATTCTTCGCATTACGAACTCCGAGAACCGGAGTTTATATAGTAACGAATGTCATAAAAACAATAATTCTCATGCTTATGTTGCTAAAATAAATTATTAATGGAGGATTGCATTATAAAATGGCCGATGTTAGTGTTTTGCACACGAAATTAAACTACTGTATGTTTAAATGACTTAGTAATTAGTGTACTTAGTAAGCAGACAATTTTCTTTTGTGTAAATCAGTTAAAATTAAATAATTTTATAATATTTTGATTAATTTTAAATATGTATCATTTATAGATATTTTTAAACAATAAAAAATTTATTTTATCCTAAAAAATAAATTTTATTGTGGCGCCATCTTTCGATTAAAAAATTTACCATTTTTTTTTTATATTAGAAAAAACCCAATAGAAAAATAAAATAATAATCTATTAATAATACATCACAAATTATTTAAGTTAAATATTAAGTTAAACATATTTAATAACTAATATAATTACTCATTAATATTTATTAGCATAATCAAACACAAATTATACAAAGCGTAATAGCAGCAGTAGCACCATATGATTTTTTTTTAAAATGGCATGCAAAACTCCGACTCTAAAAAAGGGCACGCGAATAAGTAATTTTGATGTATCGATAATATACTGTATATATATTTTTAAATCACGATGCGTAAAATTTACAGCCAAAATTGCGGCGTAGGAGAAAGTAATACGGGTCAAAGGTCGCTTCTAAATTTCGATATACCGGTTTCACTTTCGAAGGTCGTTCATTCATTCGTAACAGATGTCTCTGCGATGCACGATCGACTCGAGAAGATGGATGACGGAAACTCAGTAGGTAGAACACCCAGCAATGACACACCTTGGTATTGTCAAGCAATTACTTTGAAGAGGACCACCAAAGATTTTAACTTTTGACGTCTTTGGCGGAGAGAATGTCGGCCCCGTGGAAAAAGATGCCAAGCCCACCCACACTGACCACCTGAGGGGCCTTTTTTGCCACCCACACACCGAGCGGTGAATGGAGGAAAAGGATAACATTACTCACCGCTGTCCTGTTGGGGTCACAGTGGGAACACTGACCTATGATCTCTACAGCTAGTTTGTTTACAACCAACCACGCGATTTCTGTTCCTTTTGCGACATCGGCGCGGCTTTTATGACGTTTCTGACAAATATTCCCGAACTTTACTATACTGTGTACATTTTTACACATTTGATTATACGAAAATAACCATAGCGTCACAATAACCACGTATTAATAATAATAAAATTTAAAAAATAATAATTCTCATTTCGTACAAAATAAAAAAAATATATATATATGTATTTATATAAAAAAAAAACTTCAAATAATCGTCACCAGATGGAAGTGTGGAAACAGATTTTTAAAATTTTTTATACTAAAATTTAAAAAATTTATTTTCGTAAATTAATTAATTATTTTAAATAATTTCAAGTTTATCAAATTTAATTTAATAAATATTTTAAAAAAATTATACATTNTTTTTAATCGTTGAAAGTTTCATAAAAGTAATAAAAGCTTGTTGATATTTCGAACAATCAAACTTTTCAGCAGATATTAAACTATAAAAGTTATATGAAATTTTATTATAGTAAGAATCTTAAAGAATATAACAATAAAAATATTTCCGAACAATACATTTTTAAGACATAAATAACAATAGGTTATAAAAATATAAGAAAAAAACAACTATTGAAAGTTTGCTATTTCAGGATAGATCCATGAAAGATAAAGTTACTCGACTTTTTCTAACATTTATGAAATAATAATAATAATAAAAAAATAGCCATTTCTCCCTCTTTTTTTTTTACAGATTTTAATAGGCGAATTTTTCTTAAATATAAAATTCTTAAGCTAAAATTTATTATTTTTTTTATCTATTTTAAATATATATTTTCTTATATACAACATTTAATTAAATAAAATAAAGATAAGTGCGGGTTCGATTTCCGAATTTCATATACATTTACTTCATAATTTTAATGCTTTCTTCAGCAAAATCTTTGAGAAATTTATGTTAAAACCTAAGAGAATTATTTGAAATTATCGGAAAATTGATACACGTGATTGAAAAAAAAATAATAATACGTAATTAGGAAATCGAATCCGTACTCAACCTCATTGGTTATCATTCAAACCGGAATATTAACATCTTAATCTAATAAATTATTATTATTATTATTATTATTCTTTTGTGACATCAATTACGATGCTGTATTTATAGTAGAATAAGAAAAAGTGGAGGAGGGAAAAAAAAAAAATCTATTGGAGGAGAAGAGAAATTTGAAACTAGTTAATGACGGAGATTATCGAGAAGAGGTGAAAGTTCGATTTATTTGTAAAGGTGTTCGACTTCGGAGAATTCGACAGGCAGTGCCAAACATTTCTGACAACAAGGAATGTGTTGAGGCCGCAAATTCTTTCACGTGACATCCCTACCGATGACAAAAATACAGTTTGATCCACGTTAAGCCCAACTTCCTGTTCTCCTGCGATGACAAATCAGCTTGCTCTTCCTCTTACTATCCTGCACAATAGCCATGCATTGACAATTTACATTCTTTACAACGTACGTGCTTCTGAAATTTCATTTACCTGCAATTTTTTTTTCGTTGTTCGCGGAAGATATTTAATAAATGATTTATACAAACCTATTTAATCTGCGATAAAAGCACTCACGTTCATCGGGTTTCATTAATAACATAAAAAAAAAAACTACACAACTTTAATGGTTGGTCTAATATGACATTTTATAACTTGGTGTCGATTAACAAAGGAGAATTTGTTTCGAAAACGAACAGAATTGTCGAAGAATTTGTTTATATTTTGTACTCGAGGTAAAGACTAGAAATAGTTTTTCTTAGAAACAAAGATTAATGCACGCATCACGATTATGTGGCATGTCTAAAACGTTTACTATAGAAGAATGCTGGTACCATTAGAGTTTATAATTACCATAAATTGAAGCCATTTTTCCCCGTTTTATTTTATTTTTATTTTATTTTAATTTTCGTGTGTTGTCTGTATATTTTTCACATTTTTCTCGTAATTTACTGCCTTAAAAAAAAAAAATAATAATAATAGTTATTTTAGTATAATTTAGAGTTTAGTAAAAACAGAAAATTCGTAACATAGTTAGCCATTATAAATCATAATTTTTATTAATAAATATTAATGACTTAATTAGATTTAAAATTTTACTTATGCTTGAATTATAGTTTCTTCTTCTTCATCTTTTTTTTTTTTTTTAATTTATAGCTTTAGTTGCAAAAGTCTATTTACTTAAAGACGTTCGTCACGAAGAGACATAAATCTATCTGCGGCTCCTTATCTATTGCACCTCGTTTTTTATTAACTGTATAAAAACCACAAATTATTAATTACTTTTTGATTAAAGCGTGAATTTTCTTACGTTTTAACAAGAAAATCTTAAATTAAAATATTAAATTCTTTACAAATTTATTTGAGAGTTTTACTAAATTTCAAACGGTGTTAAACTATTTGTTTTTTTTTTTAAGTTAAAATTTAATTAAAGTCTAATTTTATGGTATATAAATTTAAGAAACGGTTAAATAAAATATATTTTTTGTAAATATATTAAAAATTTTTATTGTTTTTTTTTTATAAAATAAATTACAAACGATAGATAACTTTCATATATTAAACTATTATGTTTTATTTCTATGAAAGAAAATATACAAAATTAATTAAAAAAAGAAAATGTTACAGAGAAAGAAACCTTCGAAGAGTTTTGGTTCACGTTGTATAATTTAATTAATTACAGCCTATTATAAAACATATAAAATTTTAAGATTTATATGACATTTAAAATGCTTAATTTAATTTTAATATACTTTATATATAGCCTATTTTATGAGTGAGACATTGACTTAACCTAAAACATGAAATTTGATGTATTGTACGATATTTTCAAGTTATTACACGAGATAATAATTCTAAACTTAATCAATTCTATTCAATTTTGAGTTCATTTGTTATGTAATTTTTTTTTATAAGAAGAATTTCTATAAATTTGTTTTTAATTCGTTTTTATCTCGATTTACTTCGTTGAAAAGGTCAAGGCAAAGAGGTTGATGACTTTTAAAACTCTTTCTCATCTCCCAAACTTGACCCAAAGATATCTTTAAACAATCGCTAAAAAAATGAACAATCCATTTTTTGGGTGGAGTCATTTTTCGAAATCTGTACTTTTCGGGCGTTAAACATACAAAACTTAATATCTTGATGGATCCACCGCTTCTCTTACTTTATCATTTATCGATTTATCGATCGGAATTTTAAATCTTTAAGGGAATATGTTAAGAGTTTATGAAAATTATCAAATTTCATAAGATGCTATTTTAAATTATCTTTATATCTTCAATAAATCTCTCCGTCTCTCTTGTGGATAGGTGATTATCCTAAGATATATGACCTAATATTACATATGAAGGCACACCCAATCGCTAAACTCTTTATTGACAATATCTGTTTGCACCTATCTGTTGCTATCAAAAAGTATATTTTATATTAGAAAGATTACAGCAATCTAATAACAATTAGGCTATAAAACTTTCTTGAATTAATAAGTAATATATCTATGTTTCTCAATACTTCTAAAATATTAAATGATGATTTAGATTACATATAATAACCTCGTATTAATAATAATAATGGAAAAAGTTCGTTAATTATTAATACTGTAAATAAATTTAAAAAAAAGTCCATAATATCATTCCATTAGTGCATCTTCAACATCAAAACTTTACTATTGCCGCATTTATCCCATTTTATCTCGATATATGAAAAATTAATTAATTTTTATAATTTATAAATCTCTTAAAATATGTTTTTTTTTTTTTTTAAGCTTTTAAGTTTGTTTGACGAACAGAAAAGTAAGTGGAGGAAGGAACAACATTACGTACCTATCTGGCCTTGTGCCAGACTAAAACTAATCAATCATTAGATCTAGTTATGTTCGGGTCAGTTTAATATTTTAGATTTACCGAAATCTTCTGTTCTTCCGCTTCTTGATCAAAGGAGATAGGTTGTCAGTCAAACCAACTTTCGAACTTTCATCTTTCTTTCTTTTTTTTCTCCCCCTCTTCCCATATAACTCCAGATTGTTTATTTTTGCTCCTCTCGAACGTGTTTTGTTACATATCTCCTAATCTCCGAACGGTTTCTTTATATAGAATCCAACATCTCGTAACTTATATCAATATCTGAAAAATATCATCTCGTTTCTGCTTATTTTTTATTTATCTAAGAGATTTTTTTATTATTATTATAAAAAATATATACATATATCTTTTTTTTTATTATTATTATTAAAATCAGAGGTATGATTTATGTTTATGTTGATTTTCAGCAATGCACATAACTAGCTTCATCTTTATGCATAAGACAACTAAATCCATAGGTCTATGTATCATATGATAACATCTCATAGGACGTCTCTCCATAAATATATATAACCTTTAAAGATGTTTATATTCAGTATATATGATAAAACCTGTATATTGTAGAATAATTCTAAAAAAAAAAAAATAAAATAAAGATTTTATGAATCCAGTTACAAGAGGATAAGAGAATTATTTTGTCTACATTTCAATTTAATTTTGTTTTTGTTTGTTTTTTGTTATTAATTCGCATATTTTTATTAAGTTATTTTTATTTTTGATTGAATAAAAGTTGGAAATGATCCAGCTTTCTGGATACAAATTCACGTGTTTAAATTAAACAAGACATTACAATCCCTCTAAAGATTCGTCCTTCTATAAATACAGAAGCTCAAAGTTTTCTTAAGTCAATATTTAAAATCTTCTTTATTATTTAAGATATTTGGTAATATATATAAGAGCTAAAGAATATTTTTTAAAGCCTGTATATATAATTAAGTTTAAGCGTAGAGTTGAAGGTTTTTAATACGTGAAACAATTAAAGCCTAATCTTACGATTACGACTCCAGATACGTGCAGACTTAAGACCAAATGATATTTATAAAGAACATACTTTTATGATTAAGATACAAAATAATATGATTAGAATCTTTTAAGATGATTAACGTGCCTTACAGCCCTTATTATAAATTAGGATTCTATGAATGCGTGCGGAATCATAAAATACTTAATAATGTGCTAGAGATAACTTAATTATATATTATAGACCTATTTAACTATCTAGCAATATGTTTAGATCACCTAAAAGTATGCTGAGAATACTTAACGATAAGCAAATAGCTACATATTTGTTCAACGTAAACGAGTATACTAATTTCCAGTATTATGGAACCTCATAAAAATTTTAATTAAAAAAAAAAAAAAAGAATAATAAATTGTCAAATGACATAAAGGTCCGGGTTCAAGTACCACATCAACTTTTGTCTTTATATACCTATATATAGGCCCACGTATAGTGTCATCGGTGGTGCTAACAAACGTTAAGATGCAGAGATAAAAATAGCGTGGTATCCGACGATTTAATTCTACTGTAAAAATTCATTCACATGCCTACAATTCTCATCTACAACAAAAAGTTGTCCCGATGAAAAACCTGATAGACGAAAGACATCCGATTGGTCTNTTGCCAGCTACAAGTCACTTTTTCCTCTTTATGTTATCGGTTGTCTGACATACGCCTTGTAAATACGATCTCCCGCGAGCTACCTAAACAGAGAGGCAAGAAAAGCCAAACGCTATTTTTTTAATACAAGTATCTGTTACTATAGAAAAATCAACCGAACGGTGGTGCTAACAAACGTTAAGATGCAGAGATAAAAATAGCGTGGTATCCGACGATTTAATTCTACTGTAAAAATTCATTCACATGCCTACAATTCTCATCTACAACAAAAAGTTGTCCCGATGAAAAACCTGATAGACGAAAGACATCCGATTGGTCTAACAATAATTTTAATCAATTATTCTCTTTACTACTTCATAATTTCATACGCGCCGAACTTACGCAACAGAAACAAAAGGGATTTGGAGTATAAAAAAAAAGTGGGAAAAGAGAGAGAGAGAGAGAGAGAAAGAAAGAAAAAAGAGACTTATTTAGGATTAAAATCTGTTTCTTATCGAGGTTGTTAGCTTATAAAATGCCGCCTTTCCTCAGTTTGTAGACCACCTTGGTCACAAACGAGCTTGTACAAAGTCACGAAAAAGTAACAACCAAACTATAGAGCGGAAAGAATTGAAAGGCGGAGCCTTTGCTTTTCCCCTTTGGGGTTGAATTCTCTGTTAAGTCATCCATCACCATTAAACGAGGCAAAGTACAAGTAGATATTGCTTACTTCGACGATTAAACCTCGTACTAGATGCTGAATGAAAAATTCTCTTTTGTTGTTTTCTGAATTTATTATTGAAAAGTCTAAGGGTTGTTTATAATCATATATATATATATATATATTTTTTTTTAAATGTATACATTCGAAAAACCAGGAAATGTTTGAATTTTAACTAAACAATAAGGATGATCTACATTTTACATAACTTTAATATTTCTTAAGTAAAATTCGCCTTAATGTCTTAAGCATTTACAGGATTCCCCCCATCTCGAAAGCATTAACACTGCAATAGAAAAAGGACAATTAATTATCCACACTTTTTTATAGGTCTACATTATAAATAGAGACGTGATGGAGACACGAAGTAAATTTTATGAACGATTATAAGATTATTATGATTTAATATTCAGACATTCCCCCCCCCCATTTTTATCATTATCTCTTCTTTAATTACTCTCCATTATTTTATTTTTAAATAATTTGGAAGTTCCCGAGATAGAAAAGAAATTTTTACGAGCACTAAAAATCCATTATTACAATTTAATATCGATTTATTTTTTTAGAATTTAAAATTATTTTTTGTTGTTTTTTTATAATTTATACGGTATCATTATCACAATTAATTACCCCGAACTTTTTAAATAAATATTGTTGTAGTAAATTTTAAAAAAAAAATTTAATTTTTAACAAATTAAAATAATTGATTTTCAAGTAATAAATTCATTTCGAATTTTAATTTGAATGAATTTTTTAAATTTATATAACACTATAATGAGCCGAAATGTAATATATATATATAAAACTTATATATTGTTTTTACGATTATAAAGAATTTATTTCTAAGAAAATAATGATTATAAAGTAATTTAATTAAAATTTTTGACATTCTTTCTTTAAATCTACGTAATAAGAACACAGTAAATATTTTAGATCCTTTGTTTTTCTATTTATAAACAACAATTATTGTTAAATTACAACACTTCTTAGTCATTTTCTGGGCATTTCTAGAACCAAATACTATAGAACTTTTTCTTTTCTTTCTTTAAAAAAAAGGAAAGTGTTTGGATCTAGTGTATATTCGTGTAAATCTTCTCTGTAATGGAAAAAAAGAACTTAATCACTCTATTTCTTCTGTTGCGCTAACGGTTATTGTTCCATATCTTTAAAAAAAATAATAGTGAGACAGTCCTAGAAAGAAGAAAATAAATTTAGTGGCTCTACAACCACTCCACTGTTTAAAAAAAGATGAAGGTTGGCCTTTCGATTGATTATTGCTTAACGTCAGCCAACGAATGAATATTTATTCTGTGAATGAGTGAGACTTAATTTTGAAGAGACACTTGGAAAGTCGCTAATAGCATTTACTAAAGGAGTTGTAAAATAATCAAGTAGGCCATAAACAATCTTCATTCATCGTCTATTCCATTGGGAAATTTTATTAACTGCTGACAATTCTAGTTTGGCCAAGAATGAGTCACATCCATCGACTGCATCTATGGGGGCTACTGTTTAAATACGTCAGTCAATAAATTTACTCCGAAGGGGACTTAATGAGTTTCGTACTGTTCCTTCCGTTTGCACTCTCGCTTTTGTTCTGAATTGCGTGTTACACAACTCGTTTCATAATTAGAAATTCGTTAATCGACTTTAATATAATTAATTCGAGGTTGAAGAGATACAGAATTGAATATTCAATTACCGAATTTCTTATCTACATATAAACCACGTAATCTAGAATAAATTCCAACTTGTCAATCGTTAGAAAAGTCATATTTATACAAGTCCGAGTTGGATCTCGCTTAGTTTATAAACAAAATTATAGAAAGTAATTCGAGTATCCCCCTTAGTACACGATTCGCGTGTTACAACTAAGCAAAGACTCGACTACTACTTAAAGGAGGTAAAAGTGTTTCTCTTGTTTTTTTTTTATATTTATTTATTTTTGAAGCGGTTCCTTTGCCAGCTACAAGTCACTTTTTCCTCTTTATGTTATCGGTTGTCTGACATACGCCTTGTAAATACGATCTCCCGCGAGCTACCTAAACAGAGAGACAAGAAAAGCCAAACGTTATTTTTTTAATACAAGTATCTGTTACTATAGAAAAATCAACCGAAGTAGCACGTACGAATCAATATCTATTGAATATTATTCGATATATTCGATCAATGTAAAAATAAATAAATAAATAAATAAATGTTTTTTAAAGTTCGAAAATCGATTTTCCCTCACAGAAGCAAGATAAGAATTCGACTTTTTTTGAGGAAAAATCATCCTAGGAAAACAAGTTTTTGTGAATCTCTTACGGTTTTTCCTTCTCTATCCGAGCGAAATGACCTGCACCAAAGAAAGATAAAACAACATACCTTTGTGTTTCTCCCCTCCTTTTTCCCCGAAGGGTTACTTACTGCAGCATCAATGAAAAAGAAGACATGATTTTTCGAACAAGTTTCTGTTTTCATATTTTTTAAAACAGTCCAAAGCTGATAACGAATATAAATAAAAATAAATTTTAAAGACACAGACAAAATAATAATAAATTAACCTTATTTCTTTTTTTTCTTCTTCTTCTTTCTGAGTATCCTATTGACAGTTTAAGCTTGATATGACTCTTGTACAAACCTCTTAACCATAAATTACTGTTAAATAATTCTTTTTCGCTTTTAAATTTTCTAAAAATGCACTTTTAATGCATTTTTAAAAGCTCTAGTCGATCTGATAATCCATTATGTCATCTAGTAAATTGTTCAGTTTTAAATCTTGTAAACTTTTAGGAGATGTACGTCAAATATTATCAGCGATAAAAGAGCACGAAGAGGGGTGTCTTAACACTCGACATTGTTTAATCATTAAACTCCCTCCCTACGTATAAACCAGTCAACGTTCATTAACGATCGGTTGTAGGCTACCAAATTTGCATTTTTTTTTTACTACTACCCTACTAAAGACATTTTCCCTGATATCTTTTATTGTTACGAAGCATTGTTTCTGTAATAAAATGGGATTACGGAATGATAATATATATATATATAGTCTTTATATACGTACATACAATAAAATTCTCATTTGTAGTTCCTAAAAGGGCTAATCCCACTTTGAGTTATTGGCAAAATCCCATAACCACGTGCTCCACTATCTGGTTAGACGATTGGTTCATCTATCGACCAATAGGAAACGAGGTGTGTCAAGACGTTGACTAAGTTTTGACGGCTGTGTACAACTGAATGTCTAAAGTTGGTTGAGTTGGCTTTAACTATGGTCTTGTTAAGTGTTTGCTGGAAAGACTCTCTCTATGGGAGAGGTCTACCATAATGGCCATTGGATTATATGCATCTTTACTCACTTTTATTCTATCTATAATGGTAAGATCATTTACAAATAATATACCATATAAAATTAAGTTTCGTTCGCATTATTTATATAATATACATATTACTGTAGATATTATTGGATGAGGTGTCATCGAAGAGATTTAGGAGGCCGTCATTTTGTGACAATTCAAAGGTAAGTAAGTGCTGCTGCTTCTGCTGCTGCTGCTGCCGCTCCTGCTCTCCTACATCCAACAACCTTATAAGAGATACAATCACTGAACTAACCTACTTGCTCGATGCCTTGGAGGGGTAGATCGGTGCACGTGCTTAAAGAAAGGCGCCGACTTCTGGTTTGGGTGGCAGAAAGCTGTCTCCACAAGGACTTTTGCCGAAGCGGCAGTTCAAATAATGTGCACACATGTTGATCTAAGAGGTGCCGACGTAAACAAATATTCTGATAACTCTTCATTGCATTCTCTCCATTATTATTATTATTACTTTTTTTTCCTATTCATTTCAAAATGTTTATGAGCTTTAACACCGAAATTTCCGAAAGGGGAAATTGGGCCATTTTCTCTCATGTGATTCGCACCTCTGAAAGCACTCTTTGTATTTAAGGGAGTGCCAAATTAGAGGAGAGGGACTTTTGCTCCCCTTAAATAGAGTTCATAGAAATGTCTTCTGTAAACTATCGATATTACCCTGAAACTTTTATATATATATATATATTATATATTCAGTGATAACATATGATTGTATGTAAAATACAGTAAACTTTTTGTCTTTTTTTTTTACCAAAAAAACTTTGTTTTATAAATACTTGGATCAGGTTTTATCGTTAATCTTGTCGTTCCAGTTTTCAAACAGTAAGAATTTTCAGATTTTTGGCCCATTACCAGAATTCTGTCAGAAACAGTAAAAGAGTCATCCGAGATTGGTCAGAGTCTTTAGAGAGATGAACGAACTTCATTCCTCCTTCTTTTCTACTGTAATTTTGTGATTGATGTGAGAATCTTAGCTGTCAGTCTCTATATTATTTATGATGTATTGATAAGGACGATAAAGGAGACCATTTCGTTCCTTTGTGGGAAGTTTTGATTTAGTAACAAAGTCTGAATCTTTTCAATCGATTTGTCAAAAGTTAAAAACACAATTTAGATTACAATGCAAAACAAGCTTTAATTTTCTTTTAATGACACGTTAGCTTAATAGAAATTTTTTTTTTTTTTACTATAGACCAAAACATAAAAGAGAAATTCGTGTAACAGTAATGAGGTCACGAATTAATGAATCTTATTTTAAAAAATCTTGTTTTAGGAATTTGAACTTTGAACCCGGAGGAGATTTCCTGAAAAAGAATTGAAATGAAACAACTGTCAAAAGAAAATTTATAGTTTTCGATGAATGCCAAAGAAAAAAAAAGAAAAAAAAAAAACTGTATTTATATACAGTATAGTGAAAGACTAATCGAGGCAATACTCGAATCACAATTTCGGTTTCAATTTCGAGGTTAACCCGCTTATAAAAGTTTAAAACAAAAAAAAAAATTCAATAAAATATATTTATATTACCAAAATTAAGAAAAGAACGGCACTCTCAAAGCGTAACATGACCTCATACAGTTAAAAAATGCTTTCCTTATAAAGTTTTCCTGTTATTTCTTACACTTTACTGTTTTTTTCCCTCTATTCTTCACTTAATCTATTTCTTTCCTTCTTTTATTTATTATTTTCTGCATCAAGTATTCTGTTATTAACTTATATTTATATATTTTAATTAACTTACTATATATATATATATATATTTCAAATGGTATGCAGTATAAAGTTCAATATATCTAACCTTTACATTATTGTTTTTCAACATTCATTTTTGAAAGAATTTTTCTAAAGCAGTAACTTCTTTCGTCTGATTTTATTCTTATAACTTATTTTATAGTCTATTCAATTATTTTTATTTCTCTAATATAGTAATTTCAGTATATTTCATATAATTTTCCCTTTATGATGTATTCATTTCATTCCATTTAAACTTAATATTAAAATTTTACTTCAACTTATTTCTGTTTATTTTTATTTCTAAAATAAAGCCATTTTTATTTTGATTTTTTTTATTTCTCTATTCCATTATCAACCGAAACAAAGAAGTAAATTTACGCTATTTCAACCATTCTTACTTTTTTTTAAATAATATATTCTAATAATCTCTGTTGATTTTATTCATGATTTTCATTTAATACGCCGCTTCAGTTGTAATATAGTCAACTTTTTGTGAATAGACTCCTTTATTTTTGCAATTCAATTGTTTTTCCTCCTCCCTCCTATTCTAGCAATGCTTTCTTTTTACCTTTTTCTCACACTATAACTATTAATTTATTTTATTTTTTTACACATCTATTCAGAAAAAAGTCTAACGTCTGTCAGACCACTAATGTAAACCCCGTTACCGTCTTAATTTTTATCGAATTTATTTATTTATACAGTTTTTTTACGATGCAAAATGAGGAGAGGAAAGTAGAATCTAACGAGTTTGATATACTTCCGAACTTATCGTACTAATTAAAACTAGTTAATACGTCATTTAACACAGTTAATTCATCGATTTATCTTAATTAAACTCGTAGACTTCAGACATTTTCCGAGCAATTTGTGCTTGACGTGCGTGCGTGCGTGCGTGCGTGCTGTGTTGAGTCGAGTTTTAATACGAAAGTGCTTCAATTTGTCATTTACGTTTTCGTCTTTTGTTAAGTCAATAGAGAAGTAACGAGTGAAAGAGAAAAACTTTACACAATTGTAAATAAAGAGCATTATGCAGCGAATGATCTGTATGCGAAACGAACATGAAAAGCCAGTTCCCACGATAATAAATAAGACTCGTTATATCCCGACTAGTCGTTGTTAGTCTTGCTATTTGATCTTTGACTTTGTTTAAACTCGTAATTTAGCGTTTTTCTATCGGAAAAAACGAGGTGTTTATTAGTTCCTTTTACATTGCGACTCGTTAGAAACGATTTGCCCTTCATCCCCTTTTTTCCTTTTTATTTTTTTATATAAAATTCTTATCGCCATTTTAAACAGAATTTCTAATTAAATTAATACTGTTTTTTTTTTATTTTGTTAATTTAATTTTATTTTAAATTAAAAGTTCTTACCTGTAATTACTATTCACATTAATAGAGAATTTCCCAATTAATAATATTCTTTCCATATTTTCGTATAAAAATATAACAAAACTTATTAATAATTACAACTTATTACAGTCGAATCGGTAGACTTTGACTTGTGGCCCTATGCTGTAACACATAACAGGCCTCTCTCCTCCACTTAAATAATGGCACATGTAAAAATGTGAGGCCCTAAGGCCCTAAGTTATAAACTCATAAATCCAGGTCTTAATTGTTTAGCTTAGGTGCAAATTCGTCCATAATTATTTAACTAAATTTATTCATAAATTCAAATACTAAGTGATGCTCACTTTATAACTAGTATTAAAATTTATTAGCATAATTTAACTATTAATACAATTTAGGACAATTATTATTATTATTATTATTATTATTATTACTTTTTTTTCCTATTCATTTCAAAATGTTTATGAGCTTTAACACCGAAATTTCCGAAAGGGGAAATTGGGCCATTTTCTCTCATGTGATTCGCACCTCTGAAAGCACTCTTTGTATTTAAGGGAGTGCCAAATTAGAGGAGAGGGACTTTTGCTCCCCTTAAATAGAGTTCATAGAAATGTCTTCTGTAAACTATCGATATTACCCTGAAACTTTTATATATATATATATATTATATATTCAGTGATAACATATGATTGTATGTAAAATACAGTAAACTTTTTGTCTTTTTTTTTTACCAAAAAAACTTTGTTTTATAAATACTTGGATCAGGTTTTATCGTTAATCTTGTCGTTCCAGTTTTCAAACAGTAAGAATTTTCAGATTTTTGGCCCATTACCAGAATTCTGTCAGAAACAGTAAAAGAGTCATCCGAGATTGGTCAGAGTCTTTAGAGAGATGAACGAACTTCATTCCTCCTTCTTTTCTACTGTAATTTTGTGATTGATGTGAGAATCTTAGCTGTCAGTCTCTATATTATTTATGATGTATTGATAAGGACGATAAAGGAGACCATTTCGTTCCTTTGTGGGAAGTTTTGATTTAGTAACAAAGTCTGAATCGTTTCAATCGATTTGTCAAAAGTTAAAAACACAATTTAGATTACAATGCAAAACAAGCTTTAATTTTCTTTTAATGACACGTTAGCTTAATAGAAATTTTTTTTTTTTTTACTATAGACCAAAACATAAAAGAGAAATTCGTGTAACAGTAATGAGGTCACGAATTAATGAATCTTATTTTAAAAAATCTTGTTTTAGGAATTTGAACTTTGAACCCGGAGGAGATTTCCTGAAAAAGAATTGAAATGAAACAACTGTCAAAAGAAAATTTATAGTTTTCGATGAATGCCAAAGAAAAAAAAAGAAAAAAAAAAAACTGTATTTATATACAGTATAGTGAAAGACTAATCGAGGCAATACTCGAATCACAATTTCGGTTTCAATTTCGAGGTTAACCCGCTTATAAAAGTTTAAAACAAAAAAAAAAATTCAATAAAATATATTTATATTACCAAAATTAAGAAAAGAACGGCACTCTCAAAGCGTAACATGACCTCATACAGTTAAAAAATGCTTTCCTTATAAAGTTTTCCTGTTATTTCTTACACTTTACTGTTTTTTTCCCTCTATTCTTCACTTAATCTATTTCTTTCCTTCTTTTATTTATTATTTTCTGCATCAAGTATTCTGTTATTAACTTATATTTATATATTTTAATTAACTTACTATATATATATATATATATTTCAAATGGTATGCAGTATAAAGTTCAATATATCTAACCTTTACATTATTGTTTTTCAACATTCATTTTTGAAAGAATTTTTCTAAAGCAGTAACTTCTTTCGTCTGATTTTATTCTTATAACTTATTTTATAGTCTATTCAATTATTTTTATTTCTCTAATATAGTAATTTCAGTATATTTCATATAATTTTCCCTTTATGATGTATTCATTTCATTCCATTTAAACTTAATATTAAAATTTTACTTCAACTTATTTCTGTTTATTTTTATTTCTAAAATAAAGCCATTTTTATTTTGATTTTTTTTATTTCTCTATTCCATTATCAACCGAAACAAAGAAGTAAATTTACGCTATTTCAACCATTCTTACTTTTTTTTAAATAATATATTCTAATAATCTCTGTTGATTTTATTCATGATTTTCATTTAATACGCCGCTTCAGTTGTAATATAGTCAACTTTTTGTGAATAGACTCCTTTATTTTTGCAATTCAATTGTTTTTCCTCCTCCCTCCTATTCTAGCAATGCTTTCTTTTTACCTTTTTNGGCCGTTTCAGTCAACTTATTTATTGTTTTACAGAGTGAAGAATATATGTCATTTCTTTGGATGGTAAAGAAGGATCCTCCATCGTATTTCTTCGGCACAATTCACGTTCCGTATACTCGAGTTTGGGATTATATACCCGAAAACGTCAAAGTAGCTTTCGAATCGAGCGATACCATATACTTCGAACTAGATTTGATAGATCCAAAAACTATCTCGACTTTGTCCAATTGTCAAATGTTGCCTCAGGGAAAAAATTTAGTTGATGTGTTACCGGAAGATCTTTATAGAAGATTGAAACGCCACTTGGATTACGTGAAAGGAATGTTACCTTCATGGATGACGGCGGATCAAAGGGGAAGAGGTTTATATGCTGATTATCTCTTCAATGCCATCACGGGAAATTGGGAAAGAAAGAGGCCCATCTGGGTAATGTTGATGGTCAATTCTTTAACAGAAAGTGATGTCAAATCGCGTGGCATACCTGTTTTAGATCTATATTTGGCTCAAGAAGCCGAGAGGATGAATAAAGGTACAGGAGCCGTTGAAAAAGTTGAAGAACAATGCGTACCATTAAATGGTTTGGATTTTACTCAGGTAATTTTATTTTTATGTAAATATTTTATCAATTATAATCATTTGGAATGATTTATTACGGATAAATACTGTCCAGGATTGATTTATAAATTATTTTTAAAATTACTAAACTGAAGAACATCGTACCGTTCATAGTCTAAAGTCGAGCGTATATAAAAATAAAAATAAACATTTAAAACAACTGACTCATAGCTTTCTTTAACTAGAAAAATAATGTAAAATAGATGAATCAAAATAAATTTAAGTTCAGTTTTACATTAACTAATAGGTTTTTTTTTTTTTAAAGTTTTACTTGACATTCATGGATAAATAAAATGTATGATTTTCTAAAGATCATTCTGATCGAAAACCAAGTTAAACAAGGCATTTTTACTCATTTTATGCTGACTGTACAAAGATTAACTGATAGTTCCAAACTGATTAGGCAGAACATCCATGCTTTTATAGCTTTTTTTTTTTTTTTTTTAAAAAACATTCTTTACTTAAAATTTCGTATTATAAAGTTAAGTATTCTTATCCTATTTTAAAATTTAATTTAAATGGAAATTACATTATATATGTGTTATAAAAGTTTATTGAAACGTTTAAAATAATTTTTAAAATATTTTCCATCTTTGTCTGTAAGAGGGCTTTTCCGTTAACGGGAATGAGAAGCGCAACAACCTTTTTACAGGGGCTAATCTATTTTACTCTCTATTTCCAAGTAAAAGTGCTAAAAATCTTATCTAAACGCGATTCATATGCAAATATCCACCATACGGCATAGAATAAACGTTTTATGACTTGGAAATATTCGAAAACAATGATGGAAATGAAGCAGATGATGATCCTTTGTATCGAATGACGTCATTTCGGAAATGACACGATGACAGGAACCGGAAATGAAGCCTATTAAGCACACACACACACACACACACACATAGTGACGTCATTATCGATTATTTAGATGTTCCATTTTAATAGATTAAAGCTATTTTATGGAATTGAGACATTTATTCATTGTTTCCTTTTCCGATTTTATCTTTTACGCCACATCAGTTTACATAAATAAAGATGAAACATTATCATCTTAATCTGTATAAATAATATTTAATTATCTATTATAAATCTTAATGTATTGCGTATTTATCTGTATATGAAAATAAGGATCTAAAACGTACCAATTCTTTTTTTTCTATTCAGGTTTTATTCGCTTTGAATCAAACACTCTATCAACAGGAAAGTATAAGATCTGGAGATATTCAAGCATTCTATACAACAGACGATCTGATTAAGCATTATAATTGCGGAGATCTTAACTCCGTGGTATTCAGTCAAGATTCGACTCAAGTGCCCCACTTAAACAGTACAACTATGACTTCGCAGGAAGTTGCTGTCGCCAGGAATATTGACCGGTATTTCCGAGAGGAACTCATATACAAGCGAAATAAAAGAATGGGAGATCGCGTAGTCCAGTTGCTTAATACCTATCCGGATACAAGCTACTTTTTTGCTTTTGGTGCAGGTGGGTTTCTAGATATTCCTTAAAAAAAAAAATACTACTACTTGTCGGAAGCACTGTAATAATTTATCACATGCTGTGAATTGTTTGTTTCTCTTTAACCTAGTATGTTAATTGGAACTGTTTTACGACATTAACCAGCCTCTTAATGTTTATTAGGATTCGCTCCATTGATGTTTAATTGGTCGTTTCCTTCTAAACTAAATAAACTACCGATTCTTTATAAATTTCGTTTATATTAAAAACATACTTTTTTTTNAAATATATATATATATTTTAAATAAAAATTACTTGAAAGAAATTCAATACACTGGTCAAAGGAACCGACTGTGTACACTCATTTATCACTTCTCCTAGTTAAAATAGGAACCAATTTCGGTTTAGTCACTTGCCACCCAAGTCGAATTCCGTACAAGATATTGGAATTCCATTTGATCTCTCTTCACTTAGGAAACAGTTTAGAGAAAAGGGAAGCGAAATGTACTCCTAGAAATTCTGCCTTATAAACAAGTTATGAGTCAATCCACTCTTACACGTGCTGGAAAACATCATCTTGAGTTTGGGGTGGAAACTTGTTGACAACAGGAAAGTCGTTAGTGTGATGCGAAAGTTGGCTAAAGTTCTGTCCCTAATTAGAAATCCTCTTCTGTAATCTTCTTTCAGAGCCTTGTTGGACAAGATTGCGAACTAGAATTTGTTGGTAATCCGTTCTCATTAAGGATGTCATACTGGATATTTTCTTTTTGGTCTACTATATTATATATATATTTTTTTTTTAACTGTTTTGAGAACGATTAAAACATTATTTTTGGATATTCTCGTTAAGATTTAACCTATAAATTTACTATTTTTGATTAACCCATACATGAATTTGTTAAATTTAACAGACTGTGTAACTCAGTGAATAATTTCTACTGAACTAGACAATAGAAATTTTATAAATCAATCTTGTGATATCTGTATTTTTATTCTTTCAGGGCATTTTTTAGGAAACGATACAATACTTGATTTTGTTAAGGAAGCTGGTTATCAAGTTGTACACGTTCCTTCAACGAGAAAGTTGCGTGGGTGAGTCTTTACTTTAAATCATTTTGGTCAACAACACTTACAATAGAAAGAATCATTCTTAAAATAGACTGAAGGAAAGAACAAATACAATTTTATTTACACTAATTACAATATAAATGCAAGGAAATGAGATTATTAACTTTTCTTTTTTTTTTAATGCTGGGTAACTCGCAAGTCGGTACATTTGTAAAAGAAAACTTCACAAAGATTTTTTTTTTCCTGCGTAAAGAAAAATCACGAATTACCGAAAAACGTGACAGTAAGCTATCACGTCTCGTTATAAAACCCTGCAGGTATGTAATTTAATAATTACGTTGCAGACAAATTGTAGATCCTGAACAACAGCGATAAAGGTGCATATGGACTGTTTTCTTCAGTTTTGCGGTGCTACACTTGGTCATTAACAATCTCGTTAACAGAGATTTATTTTTTAAATTGTTTTCTCTTGCAGATTCCGTATCATAATTACAAGAATATTAATAAGTGGGTACGTTTTACAAATTGCAAAAAAGAAAGATGTTGGGTAGAACTAAACAAATCGGAAAGATTAAAACCGATAAAAGTGACAGTCGGATACTTTGATAAGGAGAAATCCAAACAGACTTGGAAGCCGATGTAAACACTTGACCATTATCATTGTATAAACGTTAAAGATAAGAGCACATACAGATCAAATAAGCGAGTTATATTATTCTGATATATCAAAATTTAAGCGGTAAATGGCCTTAAACGATTACTTTGTTTTTGTAGTATTTTAATGGCCCTTAAATAATTATACGGTAGCTTAGACTAAATAGAAAACGTCACGCAAACCAATTAGCATCAGTAAATATGAATAAATATTATGCAAAATATTTTAAATCGAATTTAATTCATTATCGTGTTTGAAAAAGTGGTTTCGATAATCAATAACAATTCTATTATGATTTATTTGCAGTAGTTGGAAAAAATATAAAAAGAACCGCTCCAGTACTCCAACTAAAGACGCCAAACAGAGGATTAAACACGATTCTGTTATTCTACTTAAGGCGACTCGTTCTCCATCTTTAAATTCTCATCCGAGATTTAACGATCTTTGGGTTCGTCTAGATGAGTACAGCACAAGGTGAGCGTGCAATCGTACATCTTGATTTCCTAAACTGGTTTTTTTTGGTGTGTTATTGCATGACATCTAGACCAAACGTTAAATGAATGATTCATGAATGTAATTATTCTCAAATTAAAAATAAAATTGTACTTTAATTAGATAATATACGCTCCCACTTATATTTTTAGGTCTCCACGTATATCCCCAAAGAGTACAAAATCGCAATATGCTCCAGAACAATCAGTGTGGCATGGAGGGGCGAAACAAAATTTTCCATCATTGCATCTATTAAGTCTTTGTATTACCCTATTGCATTCGATGACTATCATAACATGCAATCTTCTCTTCACGTAATTCATAAAAAAAAAATCTGTGTACAGTATCGTTTCGTGATTTTGATAAGACTCAATTCAGATTTATTCTCCTTTCTAGTGATGTTTTGTGAACGTGCAATAAATGGATATGTCTATTTTGACTGCTATGCAGTTCATTGTAAGATATTTTATTTATAAAATACGCTAGTGAAAGAAACTATTTAATAATGTAGATAATTATGTAGTCGCTGTGTCAATTTGAAAATATGTATTTGTCCGACATGCAATGACCATGATTCTAAGAATGAATTTTAATAAATTAATTCCTTCTTTGAATAATTTATGTAATTATAAATTAATTTCTGAATATTTATGAAATAAATCCAAGTTTTTAAAATTTGTAATAATTTTCATGCTGTAATTGATTCATTTTACATTGTTTTTCTTAATTCATAGCAATAATTGAAATGTTATAACTGAAATTCAGAGTACTTAAGTAACTTCTGAAACGTTGATCTGAAAGAATTCTGATCATTTACTAAGATTGAAAAATATAAAATATTACAATATTAATATTACTTACATAAAATAAGTCAGCAATGGGTTACTCAACTTTCCCGGCAACATTTAAAATTTTGATGGTGCCATCTGTTATAAATTTTTTTTTTAAAATGTGATAAGTATTATAAAATGGCAAAAAGCTTAATTTTGAGGGGAGGGATGAGTTTTATAAAAAAAAAAATCCAAAAAGTAAAAACCGTTTTACAATAAATTTACAATAATTCCAATTAATCTGACATTTGAAAATTATTCAAAATTTCAAATTTATCTTAAAACATTTCAGATCAATTTTTATAAAATTTCTAATTAGTTTTACCATAATAGATATCATTTTAGTTTACTTTCAATCACATTCATATACAAATCAAAATCAAAATGAAGAATAAAGAGGTAATTAAAGCTAACTGGTAAGATTTTTGAACAATTTTTAAAAGATAATATCTAATGAAAAATCTATGGTTCTAGTTACATAAACACCTTATTCCATGTATTAAAATGCTTCTTGTCTGTATTATTTAATTACTAAGACTAATGAACAGGCTTATTACACACCCAGCTTATTTAATTAACTTAACCAAATTGCATTTTGGCCTTACTGGCCCTTATCAATTGGATGACATACAAGACACAGAATGGTGACAATTACCGATGTTACAATATACGTTAAAAGTATAATTATTACATCTTATTAATAAGATTTTAAATTATCACTTGGACAGTAACACAACAATACTGAACAAATCCAGTAAAAACCTTGTGAATAGTCCTCCTCTCTTCTTTGTAGTTGTAGTAATTTTCTGTTATTCTGTCCACCACATTTATTGGGTACGCTAGTTCAATTTCATTTTCTTGATTTTTATGCACATTTTCCATTATTATGGATGATCCTGTATATGTTTTGATTTACAGATTCAAATCAAAACATGTATAGGATTATCCATAATCATAATGAAAATGTGCATATAAATCAAGAAAAGGAAATTGAACCAGCATACCTAATAAATGTGGTGGACAGAATAATAGAAAATTACTACAACTACAAAGAAGAGAGGAGGACTACAGTGATACCCCAAACTTACGCGATAGGTGGGACCAAGCGATAACCGCGTAAGTCGAATTCGCGTAAGTCGGGGTATAATTTCGCAATTTGTGTAAAATTCAAGCCGGATGTATGTAAGCTAATAAATGTTCTCATTAATCTTATCTCGTCTTTTGATTCGTTCACGGTTACAAGAAATCACCATTTAGAGTCTCTGAAGGCTTCGTAGATATAACAAACACAGAAATAAATAACACAAAATAAATTGTAGCTATGTGTCGATTCCGTGCTACATGTCCGAACATGTAAGCCGAACAATGGTGTGGGGGGGAGTGAGTAATCGAGAGTTGCTTGGTGCTCAAACAAAAGACAAATCGACGAGATTTGAAAATCACGTAACTCTGGGTTTGCATAAGTTGGGGTAGCGTAAGTCGAGGTATTACTGTATTGACAAAGTTTTTACTGGATTTGTTGAGTACTGTTGTGTTACTGTCCTAGTGATAATTTAAAATCTTATTAATAAGATGTAATAATTGTACTATTAATGTATACTGTAATGTTGGCAATTGTCACCATATATTCTGTTGTCTTGAATGTCATCCAATTGATAAGGGCCAGTAAGGCTGCAATGCATGTTGATTAAGTTAATTAAATAGGCTGAGTGTGTAATAAGCCTATTCATTAGTCATAGGAACATTTCAAATTGCAAAATTCAGTCATGGAATAAAGGCCAAATTAAAAATTAAATAAATATTTTTGTATAAAAATTTATAGTTTTTAAGAATTGGAATTTTCTGATCATAATTTAATTTTAAATGTTTCCATATTAAAGTTGCAATACTGCAATACAGTATAATAAATTTAATTGAATAATATTTTCAAATTTAATAAATTCTTGTTTATTGTAAATTCTTTTTATAATAAATTCACCTGTACATATTTACAAATATTTTTTTATTGTTAACTGTAATCATCTTCAATGATTATATTCTCTTCTGCATCATCATTTATATTTTCTGATAAAGTTACAGCACAATTATAATCATTGTCTTCTGTTATGTTGTCTTCAAATATATCCTTTTCTGTCAGATTATCCATTTTTGGTCTAAAAATATAGAAAAAATATAAAAGCAAAAATGCTTTATTTCTTAAAGTTTTATTATGAATATTTTAATTTTGAAGATAATTTAAAGAAAAATTTAAATTTAAATTCTTATTTGACATAATAAAGAATAACTGATTATTATTTTATATCAAGTTAATATTTATAAATAAAATGTACTTACCTCGTATTATATTTAGGATAATTAAATTTAATCGCTTTCCTTACAAACTCTTTCTGACCTAATTAAGGAATAGAAATAATATGTTGAATATACAATTTCAAATTATTATTTTAAAGATTTCAACTAACACTACTTTAGAAATGTTATTTATTACTATTATTAATAAATAAAATAATTAATTAATAAAAATTCTACAGCAATTTATTTGAAATATATATTTTATAAATGTATTTATAATCTAAATATATAAAGTAAAACATTGAAAAAATCAAACAGATACCATTTTAGAAAAATTTAATAATAAAATATCAAAACTATATTATACAAAAAACTTAAAATCCAAACATACAAATCTCAAGATCATACTTTTAGCATACAGGATGGTTCAAAAGTTTTCATTTAAGACATGGACTATTTATGATGTGCATGTTCGAATAGTAACTAGATGGCCACAAATGAAAAAGTGAACATTTCACTTCAAAAGGCAAGATGTGGAAAAAATGTACAATACAGTATATATTTTTCCTCATTAAATGAAACTAAGTGCTAGCAAATACTGGTGTAATTTACACTGTAAATCAATACATTTATTATAAATTTTATTTATAAGTGCACAAAACTTAGAAGTTCTTAATGGACATTTATGATAATTTGAAAATTCTTCCTGGACACATGGCTAAAATGAAGAACAAGATTGGGAAAAAGAGGACATTTGGTTACCCTTTGTATGTTAATTTGGTTTGACAGGAACATAACTAAATGTGTATTCAATTAACTAGCACCAGCTTAAGTCACATTTTATAATTTACAAGTGATTACAAAATAAATTGTCCATTATCTATATTTGAGACTTTTGACTCACTGTAATGTATATTTTTGATGTGGATAAATATCAATATCACTATACAGATAAAATCTTTCAAAAAAGTTTAATTAAAAATTAGTTTTCTTTATGTAAATTATCATTTATTTATTTAACTTCAAGTATGCTCAAACCTTTAGAATATTCAAAATATGGAATCTTTACTACATAAGGTAAAATATCAGTTTGTAGCACCCTTGTGTTTGTTCTCCAATCTAAATAAATTATATATTAAAATTTATAAATACTGTAAACTGTGAAAAAACAAAATTAAACTAAATAGAAAAAGTTCTTACTTTTAAATATATACTTTAATTCATTAGAATATTCTTTATGCTATATAATTAATAAATAATTAATTAAACAAACATTTTTTAAAAATAGTTATAATCATAAAAAAAATTGATCATACTGTTTTAAATGAAGAATACCATTGAGGTTTATGAAATGGTCTCCACTTATGACTAGAAACAGCCTCTGAGTATAAATAAAACATAAGTGCTCTGGATGTGAGGGAAGCAGTATATTTATCTAAAGTACTTTGTTCCTAAATAATAAAACATGATCCAACATTGACAATTATTGTTAGACTCCACTTATTTAAAAGGAAACAAAAGAAAATTTATTATTTTATAATTTAAAAACGCTACATATTTGATTATGAATATTAAAATTATACTCACATTCCATTCGGAACTAATAATGTCACTATCGCTAAAATACGAACAACAATTTACAACAGTTTCAATTTTTCCCATAAAATCTAAATAATTCTGATGTAAAAATAGACCAAATGCAGAACTTGATATGGTTGTTTTTTCAAATATATCCTATAAAAATTTGATTTTATGAAATAACTTAGTAATAAAAATAAATACTTTTTCATGTACTATGATATTGAGAATTATGAAGTAAAATAATATCAATATTTAAGTTATAAACTATTAAGAATTCATATTTATTATATGAATACATTAAATATTTACAAATTTAATATTAAAGTATAATCATTCGAACTATGGAAAAGATTTACAAATATTAGCATAAAAAAATATAGAAACCTGGTTCAGAATTATGAAAATTTTTTTAAACATGTTAAGAAATAATACATACATATGTAGAAACTTACATACACAAAATAGTAGAATAATATTTTACTAATTTTGAAAGTTGTTCAATATTTATAAGCTCTAAAAAGCCATAATTATTATGAGAATAGTATATTAAAACAGGATTATAATTATAAACCTAATCCTTTGTTTTTAAATATTTTTAAAAAAATATTCAACATAAAACATGAGTTCGTAGTTTTGAATTATAAAGACAAATCTCTCATAGTAAAATAAATGTTTTTTTCCCTCATTAATAACCATTTACTGGAATTCTTAAAGCTGTTACTTATCTGTCATCATTGTAACAATGTCACAATACTGAACTGTAGCCAATTATTAATTGCATACTTAATTTACATATGGAAAGAAATTTCTTTAATTTGATGCT